ATACCATGTTAGACCAGGGCTAAACATTTAGACGACGACATTGATAGTAATGGTTTAATGAGTGTGATTTAATTTAGGGTCTGTTTGTTTTTTAATATCAAATCTTGCCACATGGTACGCCTAAAAACAAATACGTCTAATGGTTTTGAGTTTGTACTGTAGAATTGTTATTGAATCTAAAAAAATATATATAAAAATATCAGATTTTGACAAATTAAGTAAATGTTGAGAACAATAAATAAATCAAATTTTATTTGAAAATATAAATGTTTAAATCTTTTAACGTAGTTTTGTTGGTAAGACCGTACTGTTTTAATTTAGCCACACGGAGCTAATGTTTCTAAACTGTTTAATTTTTTCCGACTCGAAATGCTAATGATAGCATTTTAGCATTTTTTTTACGTCTTACATTTTAACATGCTAATAGCCAGTATTTTTTTATTACTGCTTTAAGTGTTGGTTTTTTATTACTTTATTTATAATACAATTAAAACGTCTTTCAATGTATATATTATTCGAATTTGTTAATTAAAATTAAGTTAAATCATATATTACTAAAAGGCAAAGGCATTTAAATTCAACCCCGGAGTGACTGCGCATGCTTCGTAAATGTTGGGGCGGGACTTCGTGACGCAGTAGGAAGCGTTTCTCACGTGTGTTCGCTGAGCTGGTAAGTTATAGTGTTTTCTGAATTTCCTTGCTGCCTACATTTTTATTAAATATTCTGTTTATGTATTTACGGAATACATAGAGTTGCTGTTAGCACAAAGGTAACGTTAGCCGTGACGTACTACTGAGCCAAGAGCGACTACGCAAACGTGTTGTTTATATATACGTACTACAAACACGTGTGTGTTTAGCTACTATAGTAGCTGAAATATATTGACCAACATCAGTCTTAGTAACTTTACCGACTGTTGTGTTGGTCAGTGAACGTTGCTCCGCGTGTTAGCCGTGTCCACGGAACCACGTTCCAAAAAGTGTCCATTTAAGTTTTTTCTCTATTTCACACCGTCGTTTTAGAAAATGGACATAAATCCCAACACGTCACCAGTGAATGCGGGTTTTTTTTTTACATCGGCATAAGTTAATTCAATCAACACGTCTCTTTTAACTGTAATACAGCGTAAAGTTGTTGCTGGTTGAAACAGCTAAACTCCATTAATTATAAGTGTTGTTATTCGTGTACTGTACTGAGCATGCGTGACTAAATTCATAAAATCTATATTTAAATCTTAAACTAAGGGCTTTGACTGTGAAGATGTTGTCCGGAGATGACCAGTTGTGTCTGAACATCAGCAGCGGTTTGCCCTCATCGCGGTCTTACAGGAAGAAGCCCCAGAATTCACAGCAGCGATGGGTCAAAGTAAGTTCGTCAAAGTGACTGTATTTAAAATAAAGTTTAACTGTAGTCTGACTGCCTTCACCTTGTGTCAAAATATGTCAACAAAACCAAAAAATGTTTTGTTTTGTCATGTATTTTCACGTGCAACCTGAAGAAGAAGAAGCAGCAGGCGGAGAAGAGGAAGTCCAGCTCCACTCCCTCAGAGGAGAAAGGACACACTTTGAAACAGAGGAGGCTGCAGCAAACAGACACAGCAGAGAAAGAGGCGGAGGAGGAGACAGCGACTCCCCCTTCTCCTCCTCCTTCACCTCCTCCTCCTCCTCCTGCCAAAGTAAACCTCTCTATCTCTTTTACTGACGAGTCTAGATTTTACGTGATTAAATAAATATAAATTTCGTCCCGTCTGACGTCTTCAGGCTTCACCTCTGAAACCGGTGGAGAAGACGACGCCACGGAAGACGATAAAAAAGACAAAGGAAAAGGAGAAAATGGAGAAGAGTCACACCAAGGAGTCAGGGAGGAGCAGCATTAAGACCTCCTCTCTGTTCAAACACAACCCAGACATACCTGAGCTCCAGAGGTACAGCGACTCCTCTGACTCCTCCACCTGAGAGCCTTCTTTTCTCTCAGTCCATTTGTCATCGTCCTGTTCTGTCCTTCTGTCCTTCAGACCTGCCGTTTCACAGGTGAAAGAAAAGATTTTCACCACTGAGTTGTTTTCTGACCTGGACCTTCACCCACACCTGGTAACACACAGACATTTTCGCACTTCACACAGACTATTACCGATATAATCCCAATCCTAATCCCAAATCTAATTCTAATCCTTATTTACACTAAATTCCGAACATCAAAATGCATTTTCTCCATTTTCCAAAAAAGTAAAAGTAAAACACCCTAGAGAACACACACACAACACTGGTCTGATTTCATAACCTGCTGGTTTCTGTTCAACAGGTGGCGACGTTGAGCAAAGTCCTGAATGTTGATAAACTGACAAGGTGAGCACACACGACACCTGTCTGGTCCATAATTCTAATTCTCAGAATATTCTCCTGTTCAGGAGGCTGCCCCCTGGTGGTGTTCCCTTAAATATAGTACAGTCCTCCCTTGCTAATCGCCGCGGTTCGGCTGTCGCGCCCTCAGTGCATCGTGGGTTTTTAATAATTTAAATGTATTCTTGTATTGTGGATTTTTATTGCATTTTTTGTGGTATATAGAAATCTTTTAATTTCCGATATTTTCATTATATTCGTGACAAAGTTAGCATTTGTTAGCCTAAGAAGACAAAGAAATAGTAAAAAAATTGTGAACATTTTGTAACACTTACATACAGAGTATAATTTGATGAGTTTTTTTTTTTTTTTGCGTAAATATCGCATCTTCACTTCGCAATTCTTCGCCTATCGCGTGCGGTCTTGGAACGTAACCCCCGGGATAGACGAGGCACCAATGTACGATTTGTAATATTCCCAGTGGGAAAACAATAACGACATAAAAATTTGTTTCTTTACGTCAGCGTTCAGAAACAGACGATTCCAGCGCTGCTGTCGGGACGAGACGCAGTGGTTCGATCTCAGACCGGGTCAGGTGAGGACAGGGACTAAGATGTTCTACATCCAACCATTGTCTCCAGGGTCTGAACTGGAGCCTGAAAATGTCTTTCTACTAAAAAAGTTTATTTTTTTCGTTTAAGGAAAAACCCTGTCGTACGCCGTCCCACTGGTCCAGAACCTTCAAGCGGTGGAGCCAAAGGTCAGCAGGTCAGACGGTCCACTGGCCGTCATCATCGTCCCCACCAGAGAGGTTTGTCCTCAGACGTGTTCTCCTGCTCCTGTTTGTGGGAGGGGTCTTGTTTCTTATCTTCTCACCTTCTCCCTCCTTCAGCTCGCCCTGCAGACTTTTCAAACCCTCCAGAAGCTTCTGAAGGTAAAATCAAAACCTCGAAGATCTCGACACTTTTAAATCTGTTCAATTTAATAACTTGACATTTCTGGGTTTTTGTTTTTTTGTTTTGTTTTTCTGTAGCCATTCACCTGGATTGTCCCAGGTGTTCTAATGGGGGGAGAGAAGAGGAAATCTGAAAAGGCCAGGTAAGGTTCAGGCTAACACGAAATCACAATGTCCTTGAAAAAAAGATTTGGGATTTCTTGATGGCTACACCAGGACTGTTGTAGCTAACGTTAGCTCTGGTGTCTGTACCAGGACTGTTGTAGCTAATGTTAGCTCTGGTGTCTGTACCAGGATTGTTGTAGATTACGTTAGCTCTAGTGTCTGAACCAGGACTGTTGTAGCTAACATTAGCTCTGGTGTCTGTACCAGGACTGCTGTAGCTAATCTTAGCTTTAGTGTCTGTACAAGGACTGCTGTAGCTAATCTTAGCTTTAGTGTCTGTACAAGGACTGCTGTAGCTAATCTTAGCTTTAGTGTCTGTACAAGGACTGTTGTAGCTAACATCAGCTCTGGTGTCTGTACCGGGACTGTTGTAGCTAACGTCAGCTCTGGTGTCTGTACCACGACTTTTGTAGCTAATATTAGCTGTGGTGTCTGTACCAGGACTGCTGTAGCTAATCTTAGCTTTAGTGTCTGTACAAGGACTGTTGTAGCTAACATCAGCTCTGGTGTCTGTACCAGGACTGTTGTAGCTAATGTTAGCTCTGGTGTCTCTACCAGGACTGTTGTAGCTAACATTAGCTCTAGTGTCTGTACCTGAACTGTTGAAGCTAACGTTAGCTCTGGTTCCTGTACCAGGACTGTTGTAGCTAACATTAGCTCTACTAACAATAATAACGTTTCATATTTGGGG